CCGCCGCGCGCCACGGGGTCGGGCCCTGCCGCTGCCGCTTGCACTTGTAGCGTCGGTTTTGGAACCAGATCTTGACCTGCGTGGACGTGAGCTTCAGCACGCTGGCCAGCTGATCGCGCTCGGGAGCGGACAGGTACCGCTGCTGCTTGAAGCGCCGCTCCAGCTCGTAGACCTGCGCCTGCGAGAAGAGCACGCGCGGCTTCCTCCGCCGTCGCGCGCGGGGCCGCTCCGCACCGTCCGCCTCCGGCTTCTCGAGCTCCACCGCCTTCTGCAGCGCGCACAGCTCTGAGGGAGACAGAGAGACAGAGAGACTCGGTGAGAGCAGCCTGACCCACAGGGCTCCCGCGGGGAAAGGGCCCTCGTGGGCTTCGCCGGGTCCTGAATGGAGCCCCAGCCCGGTCGCGGCTCGCTCTGTAAAGTGCTCGATTTTCTCCCAATAGCATTTGTTGAAGGCCTACTGTGTGCCAGGCACGGGTCTACGCGCTGATGAACAAAGCAGCTTACAACCTGGAGAGGGAGATAGACAGTGACTTACAAGGCTTCAGGCGGCAAAGAAAATAAAACCGTGTGAATTACATTACGGGTACTTGGGTTTGAGAAGTTAAATGAAGGCTGGCCAAGGGCTCACCCTGGGGGCCATCCTTTGTCTCCAAACTGAGGAACCAAAGACACAGAAGGCCCGTAGGCAGCTCGGGTGTGTACCCCAAGGCGCCCCAGCGGCCGGCCGTGAGGTTAGCCGTAATGGAGTAGCCGCGGGTGAGCTGCGCCTGGAAACCCGGCCTCGAAACCCTAGCGCATACGGAGCAGAATTCGAATTGGTAGTGGTCAATTAACTCTAGCTTCTGTGCCCTCCTGCTGATGTTCGGGGCTTCCCTCTGCATCTAGGCAAACCTGTAAATCCTTTCTGGACCCCCAGGGCCCTCTGCCCAGCGCCTCGGCCTCCCTCCCTCGCCATCCCGGGCCTGCGAGAGCGGATGCGGCACTCGCAGCCATCTCCAGCCTGCGGCGTCTTCGTCCCCCGGCCCCCGCGTTTCCTAACGTTTTCCACGAGAGACCCTCTCGCCCTGCCTCGGCGGGAAGTTGTGCTGTGCTGGAAAATTTAGGCGAACTCAGATCCCCGAGCTCCCCTGCAACCCATCTTAAAGTCAAGGCCTTGTTCCCCGAGACTGCACTCCCCCTGCACCGAGGAGAAAAGGCCCCGGGAGAAAGGCCGAGATTGGGTGGGCTGTGGAAGGCCCGGGACCCTCTCTGGTGGCGCCAGAAAGCGTGTCTGGTATGCAGCGTCTTAATTTTCGTTTAGTGGGTTTTTGTCAGATCTTCAAAAAGACCTGCAAATCCCAAAGAAGTCACCCGCTCCCGCTTTCATAGGTTATCCGCGTCTCTCGGACGATAGCTCAGCCTCCTAGCAGACCCGAGAGCAGGCCACGGCCTCCTGGGACTGTTAGGCCTGAAAAATGGTCGTTGTTTGGTTTTGGTCTTTGTTTCTGATTCTCTCGATCCAAAGTTTGCTCCTAAGCCTCCAGCTGGATGCGGCGCGCGGAGGCCCTCGCTGCAACCACGCTTTTCAGTCCCCCAGCCCCTGGCCGGCTCCCCGACCCAGGCGCACGTCTCCCCCAGGGGTTTCTCCGCCGGGTTTGCAGACTAAAGCGCCTCGGGAAGGGAGGGCATCTGGTGTTTCCTCCTCACCTTTCTTGACGGCTCGAGGGTCCTGGGCCGGGTCGCGGTCGCCGTAGGCGCGCGGGTAGAAGGCGGGCGTGGAGGGGCAGGCTGGCGCGCATTTGGCCGGCGAAGGCACCGGGCCCAGCTCGGCGCGCAGCTCGGACAGGCCCTGCGCCGCCGCCTCGGGCCCGGGGTAGGCCTCGGGCTTGAAGGCCGCCAGCATGCAGGAGGCGGGCGCCAGGGTGGCCTCCAGGCGCGCGGAGAGCTCCCCCGCGGCCAGGCTGCGCTGCTGCTGCTCCAGGTTCAGGATGTCTTTGACCGAGAATGGCGTGGGCGTGAGCGCAGGGCTGGGGAACATGGTGGCAGCGCCAGGCTCACAGCGCCAGGTGGGCGGCGGAGAGCGGCGCTGCCCCCGGCTCCTGGCAGCCTCCCTGCATGGTGTCGCCGCCCGCGCACCCGCCTTCCCGCTCTGGAAGTGGCTGGGCAGCAGGGAGCGCGGAGCACAAGGGGCAGGAGAGGCGGGACCAGATCAGAGGAGGGGGACTCAGCCTGCCATTGGGCCAGGGGCCTCGATGACAGGAGCGATGAGCGGTTTCGTGTCACCTAATATAGACATACGACCAAAAAAAAAAAATCCTGCTCAGCGTTTTTTTAAAGGGGCCGCGAGGCATTTGGAAGGCTTTCCTTTTGCTCCTGCAGCCAGAGACTCTCTACAACGTTAGCCTCAAAAACCTGCACAGATGCGTTCCCAGGAGAGGAATGATTCTTCTCTGATGGAGCCTCTGGGTGGGATTGGGTGGTTCTGGGACTTGGAGACGGTCCTCAAGTCGGACACTAAATGGGAGCATGGAAGCCTCAGGGCTGAAAGTGTATCTCCCTGAGAAAACGGAATAGGGAGGGAAGCATGCAGGGCAGGGTTTGCTTTGGACAGGAGGGGGAGATTCTGGCCAAGGTGGGGGTTCAGCTTGGCTTGATCTAGAGGGTCAGTCATGCCCTGGGACACCCCCTTTCCCAAGGTCCCAGATGCTGAGGACTCCTGGGTGAGTCCGGCTGAAGGAAAGGGCCAGGTGGGTGACTGGGATGAGAGTGGTTTCGCAGAGGTGCAGACTGCAGCACATCTGGGAGGTGCCCTTCCTTGTCAGTACCCTCCCAGGGAATTGCTCTCTACTTAATAATAAGCCAGTCTAGAATCCCAGAGAACTCAGCTTCCCAGCAGCCCTGTGTTCTGGGGTGTCCCACCTCCCAGCAACCTTCTCCAGTTCCGGAGCCCAGCAGTCCTGCCTCCTTCCTCACTTGCCCCTCCTGTTGACCAGCAAGGCCTCAGGTCTCTGCTCCCCGAGGCCCCAACGCCCCAGCAGGCAGTTGGGAGCACCTGGGAGCCCGGGGAACCAGGATTTCTCTCAGCCTTTGGGCTGGCAAGGAGGAGGTTGTCCTGGCAGCGGGAGCAGGGAGCAGGCACGTGGCAGAAGGGCAGAATGGAGGAGTGATCTTTAGCCTAGGGTCAGTACAACAGGGCGCTGCAATCAGGCTACCTGCCAGGGTTTCAGGAATGCAGGCTGCATGGTCCAGCCCTACAAGGCCTCTGGTCCCAGAAGCCTTTGGGAGAGCTGATGAAAGCTTCAGGCCTTCCTCCCAGGCAGAACTCAGTAGAGATGCTCCGCTTTGCATACAATTTTAGAGAAGGCCAGGCAGGCCTGAGGCCCCAGGTTAAGAATGCCACCTGACTCTCCCGCTGGGAATGGCAAGGTGAATCCTGTGGTTGGAAAAGGCCTGGTTTCTCACAACCCAGGATCCTGCTTGGAAGGAGTGCGGGAGGCTCTGTTCCTTGCACAGAGCAAGTTGGGGACAAGTTTGGGACTCTGGAAGAAGCTTTTGGAGTAGAATAAAGGCAACACAAGGTCAAAAGCTCGCTAAATACACTACTCCTGCCCACCTGGAGCCTCAGAATGTGCCCAAGTTGGGAAAGAAACTCATGAAATACCAGGACAAGCTGGTCTGTCTAGAACAAGGCTCTTCTTGGGCGGTTTAAACCGTTGGGTACTGTGAATATCCGTGAAGTCAGGCTTTGGCCTGACACTGAGACTTTTCCTGCCACTCGAAACCCACACTCCCAGGGCGTGCAGCCCACCAACTGGGGTGGAAGAAGGCCCTGCGAGGCATCCGGAGGATGCTCAGTGCCCGACAGGGCTTTCAGACACCAAGGGGTCAGTACTAGACTCTCCCCCAGGGGAAGTCTCTCCTGGAGTTTCCAAGCCAGGTACAATATGGGGCTCTGTGATGATTTATCTGGTCTGCAGAGAATACCTTTTCTCAAATGCAGGGCTCTTCAACTTCAGGAACCCTTCTGGTCTCCTCACCCCAGACCCTCCTAGGACCGGCCTCTCCCAGGGCCGTCCTCAAGCAGCTCTCTCCACTTTACAGTTACTGCTCTGAACTCCCCTGGCTTGGAGGCCTGCCTCCCTTTGAAGGTTGTTTTTTGGGGGTGGGAGAGGATGCCTATCTCTGAGGCGGTGACGTCTGGCAAACTGGCCACATCCGATTCAATTAAACGTCTCGCTGAAAAGAGCTGGGAGTGAGGGTCCTGGGAGCGCTGTTAAGTGAATCGGCCGGCCCTGCAGCTCGCGATGACAGTTTGAAAGATTAGTGTGAGCCGACGCCTGAAATATTACCATTTAATGGGGGACACAGAGGCTGCATCCGGGATCCCTGTTTTTAGTTAGATTTCTTTCTTTTTCTTATTTATTTATTTTTTAGAAGACAGTTCTGAAGAAAGGAAATAAAATCTGCATTTCCTTTGCAAATAAACGTGGCAAAAATTTATCGCCAATTTTCAGGGATAAATGTTCTCAGGGCTGACAGATAGACCTGGGGGGGGTCAGGTGTCATGAAAGGGGAAGAGAAGGAAACCTTCAATCCACATGTGGATGAAATGGATGACTTCCCACCCCTTATGCCATCTGAAAATCCTATGATAATTTCTCTGGGCTCCAAAAAAAAAGGCCTTGGTTTTGGAGGACAGCGGAAGTAAGGCACGATGGACAGGCAGGCGCGGGCATGGAAACTGGAGTGACCGGCTGCTGTCCGAGGATGACCATCCAAGGCAAATTGCCAGCTTCTGTCTGCAGTCCTCACTGTTTTTGAGTGAGTACAAAAAAAAATTTTTTTTAAACAGGTTTCAATGGTTGGGGGTTGAGTGGGAGGAAACTTGATTCTCGGCTCAAGAGGGCCGCATCTTTCTTCCCAAGGGCGGCTGACCCAACCTGGCCGCCTGTCTAAGCCGCACTTCCACTAAGCTAGCAGGACAAACAAACAGCCTTCAGCCCAGAGAAACGCAGAGAGACCAAAGGAGACCGAGGCGAGATCGAAACTCCACGTCCTCCTTTTAAAGAGCTGGCGCCTTAAGATTAGCGGAATTCCAGAGTGGCCCGAGCTCGAGCTCGTTGGGAGCACATAAAATATTATTAATTGAAAAGCGATCAGCGCGGCCGGAGCCGGCGATCAGCAGGGCCGGTCGCGAAAGGTATATATGATTAATTGAAAGATAAGCTGGAACTATCACCGGGAATGTCATTAATGCGCCGGGGAGACGTCCATTGGAGACAGGCGGCGTTATCCACGGCTTTATCTTCAACAACGCCTCGCTCTCGGCCCGCGCGGGGGAAACAGATGGGGGTTTCTGTCTGGGACGCTCGCCCCATGTTTATATTTTGGGAAGAATCGCAACTCGTGGGAGTCCCCGGCAGGCCCCCTGATAAATGAACATTAGCACTTTTTCGGACTACTGTATCAACAAAGCGGCTGCGGCGCGGCAATAATTGGCGAGAAAGCAAACAGAGGGCCGAGAGCGCGACTCTGCTCTTCGTCCGGCTGATGGATGGGCGGCCGCGGCTGCGGGGCGGGTCCCGGCTCGC